TAGCAACCCTATACAGTCGGACCAAAATGATTTTGATACTAGCAGTTCATTCAAGTAAAATAGGTAATTAATAAGACACACTATACAGTCGTATTTTGTTTCTGTTTTATATACAGTAGGTACCTATGCTTATAAAAAGTTTAGCTAAGCATATATAATTGAATCAGAATAAAATTATTATAGATAAAACAGTACTTTATAGTGTACAAGTATGTAATGTTGGTGATTACCGCTGAGGTGCCATTGAGACCAGAGCCGTTAGGTAATCATCAATACACACAAGTATCATCATACGACGTTTTTTAATACGTTTTTTAGTATATAAAAAGTTTATTTAGAGAAACAATTTGTAAAAGTGCAGTTAGTAAAATTAGTGATAGGTATCTTCACTGAAAGCATCTGGCCATGGTTCTTTATGTGACCATTTCTTTCTTTGGTCAGCCTTGCCTGTTTTCCCAGGAGTTTCAAACTTTCCATCATTCTTAAAACCTTCGTTGACTATCCGACTCTCTGATTTTCCTGAAAAAAAGTATAAAAATATGTAACGGAATAGAAACAATAACTTATTGACATGAAGCAATTAATTCATAATTGGTAGAAAACCTGACCGAGTTGAACCATAATAATGTATCAAAACAAATGGTCGTACTACAATATTGCCTATTTACAATGTCAATCAAACCTAAAAATGTGCAATGTAAACAATGCCTTTTTTGGTCTCAAAATCGTAAATTGAGTAAATTTGTAACTTCAGGCAGATTACAAACAAATAGTTACACGATTACATACCCGTCATAGATGCTGTTCGCCCATAAACGTGAGCGTCAGAATGGCCGGTCACTACTCATATTTTACATCGAAATAATTATAGAAAGTTGCTACCTAGTTGCTTCTAGTTGCTACTAATCGTTAAATAGTTGCTACCCCCGATTAAAACAAAATAAACTACTTTTTAGGGTGACCAGTCATTCTGACGTCAGAATGGCTGGTCACCTATCCAGTGAGAACAAACTGCGTCACTAAATGGAGATTTTTTTAAAGCAATAGTTGCTACTAGGTTGCTACCTTTATATATATCATTTTGGACCTCCCAGCTTTTAAGGATAAACAGTTATAATCAATTGAGCGTTCAGACATTATTAAAACTGAACGCCTGTAGAATTATACGAGCAAATTCGAAATCAAGTGCATAATGGGTATTGCATAAGCAGGCGCTGTGTAATAGAATTTATTTTAAAAGTTGTCTACTATACATTATGTGTAATGTATGTTTTTAGTTGTAATAATATAATGAATAATATTATTTTACCGTGCGAAACAAGACAAAATAATGTTAATTTCTGTATTGAGTTATTTTTGTTTATTTGTAAAAAATATTTCTGATGAGGGTAGGTAAATTTTTACTTTATTATGCTGAACAGTCTACTTTTATTTCTGGTACAATTGTCGCATTCAATGTTTGTATTGTTTTATTATAGTAAATTAATACCAATTGTTGAGGAGCTCGATGGCGCATTTGGCTGCAATTGTTGAAGTTAAGCAACATTCGCAATGGTCGATCATTGGATGGGTGACCGAAAATCTTCTATCTCATGTTCCTCCGTGCTTCGAAAGGCACGTTAAGCAATTAGTCCCGGCTGCATCTGCAGTCGTTAGCACCCGCCAATCCGCACTAGGCCCGTGTGGTGGGTCATGGCCCAATCTCCCTATGCTATCCATAGGGAAGGCCTGTGCCCCAGCAGTGGGGACATTAATAGGCTGATGATGATGATGATGATGAATACCAATTGTGCGGCACGCCGGTCTGTCGTAGTAGCGAGAAGTTACCGACCCGCACTTATTAGGTGGAGGGTCGAACGGAGGTGTCTTGACGATGGAAGTGGACTGTAGCTGGCGAAATAAAACCTCTCAAGATTCGTTTTCGAAGAAAGTCGGTGTGCGCTGTTAATGGATGTCCGGTAAGAAGTCTTCAAGATCCAGGGAAAACCGCTAATTATTACTTCTTCTTATTAGTAGGAGCGCATGTCGCTGAATGACATAAACAAATCTCAGTACCAAACAAATCGCACCAGTAAAGTTAGTTTTAAACAATAATCACTATGAATTCATTTCAATTATTGAATTTGTTCCACCTGGATTTGGTGAAATGGGCCATTACAAGGCACATTGCAAACGTGGGAATATATGGCAGTGTTACAACGATCTGAATAATAGAATTACAAAAAGTAATAAGAAAGTAATGTGCTGTATAATATATTTAAAGAGAAGAAACACAACTTTTTTTTATTAAATTATTATTGTTAGTCAATATTTGTTTTATTTATTGCATAAATACTAATAATAATAATAACTACACTTTAAATAAGTTTGGGTATTGCATAAGCAGGAAGTGGCGCCTGTTCAAGCAATACCCATTATGCACTTGATTTCGAATTTGCTCGTATAATTCTACAGGCGTTCAGTTTTAATAATGTCTGAACGCTCAATTGATTATAACTCTTTATCCTTAAAAGCTGGGAGGTCCAAAATGATATATATAAAGGTAGCAACCTAGAAGCAACTATTGCTTTAAAAAAATCTCCATTTAGTGACGCAGTTTGTTCTCACTGGATAGGTGACCAGCCATTCTGACGTCAGAATGGCTGGTCACCCTAAAAAGTAGTTTATTTTGTTTTAATCGGGGGTAGCAACTATTTAACGATTAGTAGCAACTTTCTATAATTATTTCGATGTAAAATATGAGTAGTGACCGGCCATTCTGACGCTCACCCATAAACATCGTCCAAATCCCACAAAATTCGTCCAGCTTGGTAGTCTTCGAAACATCGCTGGAAAACTTTAAAAATCACTTCCCGCGTGCCACTCCGATTTACTTTACTCATTTTTATACCTTTCTGCGTAGTTTCGTCTTAATTTATTACAGTTTAATTCAAACAATAAAAAATACAAAAGGAAAACTGTTCCACAACTGAAACTCGATGACAGCTGATGTACTCTTTTTTTTTTCTATTTTGGTTTTACGACAGCTGATGTACATAAGTTTGGTGTTGCCAGACACATGAATAATGTTAGTTCCTCAAACATTCATGTCACGACTTTATAGACAAACTGTAAAATAAGTAAGAAAAATATTTATTACAGTATACAATTAAAATATAAACGTCCGGAACCGTAATTGTGATATTTGTGATTAAATTAAAAATGATGGGTGGAGTCAACAAATATTAAAAAAATACCGTGCAGCCGACGGCATTGTTTAAGTGTGACCTGATTGGTGCAGTAGGCGGCGTGCGAGTAGAGACAAACACTTCCTTTGAGTTTCACCGAGTTGACTAAAAAACGTAAACAATCATTAATATTGATTGTATGTACTTAAATCCTAAGATTTAATTATGTTTTTAAACATTTGTTTAAAGTAATATTTATAAAATTGTAGTTGGGTTAGGTAAGTAGGTAGGTAGGTACTTTCTAACACCAGGTTCATTCAGATGTTGATCACCCGACCCGGCTGACGCCCCCTAGGGCCCGGCGTCCGGGTGCGGCCGTACCTAGCGCTCCTATGGGAAAGACGCCGCTGCATTTAAATGTGGTCACGGATTTTCGTCCGGAGAGGAACTGAACGAATACATGAAAGTTATGGTTTTAATTTACATAGTAAGTACTTACACTCTTTCCTTATAAATACACACACTGCACAAAAGCAAACCATCAAGGACGGTACACAAAATGCAAAATGTACGTAGTGTTTGTACGCTTCACAAAAAAATAACCAAAACGCTCGTTACTCGTAAGCGTCCCGCTAGTAATAAATTGAAAAGATCACTCGCGCCTAGGCTTGCCAGGTGTCCGGCTTTAGCCGGACATGTTTGGCTTTTTGCGGTCGCGTCCGGCCAAATATGTACGAGTTTGGCCTGTCCGGCTTTTTGTCAGAGTGGCGATTCGTACGACGATGGGCAGACGAGCGTCCGAGCGGACAAAAGAGCAAACTATTGACGCGCGCGGCGCGTGACGTAAGCGTGACTACCCCGCCCCGCTGTCTGATATAATAAATATGTCCGGCTTATAGGGCAAAATGTCAGGCCTTATATAGTGCGCAGTCCGGCCTTTGCATTTTATGGCCTGGCAACCCTTACCCTTCTCGCGCCGCCAATACATGCCTATTAGGCACTGGTGTCGATTCTAGCATGATTCTCTAAACCTAAACTTAAATTTGACAGCAGTATATCTTTGTCATTCTCTAAACAGAATGAAAAGGAGAGACTGATGTTAAATTTAGTTTTAAGTTTAGAGAATCACGCCAGAATTGGCACCATTGCCTATATAGTTTCGGCACGCGTTGGCGCCGCTCTGCACTTGTCGTTGTTTGTCGGCCCGCCCGAATGTACTTGTCAGAACGCGCTTTTCGCGCCATGGTGCGGTGCCAGCGGTATATTTTTTGGTAAATATTAGATACTGGATTAACGATTAAGGGACATAGGATAATTTAACCGAAGTAAACGAGTCCGTTATTATTTTTGAAAGTTAACTTAAAAGTTAATCCGTTAATAGCAATGTTAACTTCGTTAATTAACGAGTTAATGCCCAGCTATGCTTAAACTACACTGTTTATTTCTCCCGGTTGTTTTCTGACTCTGAATCTGATTCTGAACCAGCGTGTAGTATGTCCATACCCTAATGTTTGGTCTGCTCCTATATATTCTAAGGGTGCGGCCAGAGTGCACTCAGATTCAGATTCAGATTCAGATTCTGAAAACAAGCGCGAGAAATAAACAGTGTAGTCTAAGCAGATTGCCTGCTTTTTCTCGCGCTTTGTTTTCTGAGTCTGAATCTGAATCTGAATCAGGAGTGCACTCTGGCCGTACCCTTAGACTACACTGTTTATTTCTCGCGCTTGTTTTCGGAATCTGAATCTGAATCTGAATCTGACTGCACTCTGGCCGCACCCTGTGTCTGTGGTTTGAACATCCAGAATCATAGAGAACTAGACAACGCCGTCTATGGACGGACATGACCGTGAGCTTAGACCGGGAGTGACATATTGAGTCAGACTGTCATTGGTGTGAGTGTGAGTGAATGAATCCAATGGTGTCCAAATAAATCTTTTCACCCTACAAACTTTGTGCTTGTACCTACTCTCATTTTCATCCACTACAGTTAAATAGGAATCAGTGAATCTTGTAGGTGTTATTTGAATAATTTGTGTTGCAATTGTTTCTTGCGTAAAATCATGATGCCACTGCCTATAAACGAAATACTCAAGGAGGAAATCACCAAGTTAAATTACACTCTCATACCACCAGGGTTCCAGGGTGATGTGCGAAGTGTGAGGTATGTATTTTTTACATTAAAGATAAAAACAATAGAATTTAAAAGAAAAACCAAGAGTATGTCCATGGCGTCATAGTGACACACCTATTCAAGGCCTTAGTAATATGTTTTGTACATATTTGGTATATGTATGATTCTTTTTAACTTAAAATAATATAGAATCCTCTTTAACGTACTATACTTGTCACAAGGCCGTTTTTATTGATGTGCAAGTCAAATAAAATGGCAAAATAAATCTAATAAGATTCCAATTGGTAATTTTTACTACTTTTATTGATCATATCATCTTTCTGAAATTTATTAATTTATTGTAAATGTATCATAACATAATGATTTGTATCAAGAAAAAATATATCAATTTTAATAAATTTTTTTTAATGTTATTTGAATATTATTGCACGATTGTCTACCTGATGCAATATGTAATTTCTTAGAATTTTTGCTTCCTGTTTGTTACAGCCTTCTTGATGTTACTTACAAGAATGCCTTTGTGCCTACAATACTCTTAGTTAGCTTATTATTATCTCTGTTACTTAATTTCAGTCATTTAATGTTTTTGTAAAGAGTTTCTGTATTTATTTAAATTAAATTTTAATAAATTTTACTACTTAACAAATGTTAAATGAATGAAGTTAAAAAAAATCAGTTACTTTGGAAAAAAAGTGTAAAGTTTAAAAAGTATTTATTCATAAATGTAACATAGTGATCCAAAGATTATAATTTTTTCTCAGTTGTTATTTTTCTTGATTAACACACATCTACTGCACCTACTTGCATCCCCACCGAACCCAACTTACAGGAACTAATATTTATTATTATATTTATAATTTATCCCAAAATATGTATTTAGTTTATTGATGCTGTTTATTACATACTTTCACATTTTATTTAAAATGGTATTAATGACCAATATCGAAATACAGAAACAGAGACTGCTTTTTATTTCGTCAATATAGCGCCTGATATTATTTCTATTCTATGGCAATCCATTGTTTTATTTAAATGAATAAATAGTGAGTATTTTGATTTTCAATCTGTCTCATTAATCACTGTAAAATGTTACAGATTGATTTGGAATATTATCTAATTGATGATAATCTAATCTTATCATAGTTTAATTAATATTAATTAATCTTTTGAGGAGCTTGATGGCGCAGATGGTTAGCGCATGCTGCTTGTGATTATGGAAGTTAAGCAACTTTTGCAATGGTCGGTCACTGGATGGGTGACTAAAAAATTATTATCTGCAGCTCCTCTGTACTTCAACAGGCATATTAAGTCCTTGGTCCTAGCTATATCTGCATTCATTAGCACCTACCTCTCTTTCCTCTTCCTTCCATTGGGTAGGCCTGTGTCCCAGCAGTAGACATTGATAGGCTGATGATGATGAACTGATGATGAATTGTCATGGTTTGTTCTAGTAAATGGTTCTATTCTACATGATTTCAAAATGATGCAACAGAGATTATATCCCAAAATATGTATATTCAATCTCAATAAAGAAACATAACACATAATATAGTTTTTTATAATATTGGAATAATTATATTCAGCTTGAATTTTTACCATTAAGCTAATTAAGTCTGGTTTAAGTAATGGACTCAGTGGAGGTAGAAGAAGAAGAAGTAAAATTAAAACTGTGTGTTGTATGTGGTGTGGTTTAACAGTTTTCATACATGTATATTTGGTGTGGTTCTTGGTGCAGGTTACTGCAGGAGAGTCTTGCCAAAATGATTGATTATCTTGGGGAGCAGTCTGCGTCTGCGCAGGGACTCACCAAAGTAATAACCACCGCAGAGAGACTACGGAACTCACCGTCATACGTGCTGTACTTGCTCAAAGACGCAGCTGCTAACAAGTGAGTTTTCCTTGCTATTATAGCTTAATTAATATTTACACTATCTAATGAAAAGTTGTTTGGCTATCTTGATGATTAGATCTATCTGTCATGGGCTGTACTGAATTTACTTATCACTTTAAACGCCTGAAGTTTTCTGTTTTTTTAATCAACATGTAAAGTTTATAATAACTATATTCTACTCCAAAGAATTTTAAATGGGCTTTTTGTAAAATAAATATTATGCGTCTTTATACTGAAGAAAAGCGGTACGTAGCGTACGTAAGAAGCAGAATGATAGGGCCAGGAGGGGAGTAGCTACCAGCAAGCCCTACAGATTACGGAGATATTGGCTAAGGGTACTTTCTCCTCTGACAAAGTGTTTTTTATAGTAAAGGTAGGTAAATGATTCTACCTCACCTGATGCTAAGTGTACTTTAAGTATATTCCCAGTTGGTAATTTAATATTTTGCAATTCATGTGAGGGCACAAAAATTAAAGAAGTGTGTCATATTTAATGTGCTAATGTCGTAATTACAGTTTTTTCTTCGCTCGCGAAAATTGCCTTACCATATCAATCACTTCAGCTGCTCCCTTCCGGGTTGCGTCTGTATTGCTCTATGATCGTATGTTTAAGCGGCCTACTGACTGCCGCATGGACAATCTAGGGTGTAAGAGTGGGGATGACCCTTAATTGCCTCCTGAATTGTGATGTGTGTAGGCAAGCAGATTTTCTAAATCGGGCCTGCGGCAGGAGCGCGATACCACCCTTGGTCACTAGATTGTCCCTGCCGCCCTGCACATTGCCGCGTGTGTGGCGTGATTGGGGCAATTTCTCAATCAGTCGGTTGGTAGCTGTCACACGTAGCGCACGTATTTCGATCAAGATGGCGGCAGATTATAATGAGCTAGAACTTTGGACACGAGTGATCCAAGTACATAAAGACAGGCCCCACATGTGGGATAATAAAAACAAACATTATTTATATTTTTTATTTTTAGTATGTAAATGCTCGATGTTTAAATCTGAAGAAAATATTACTAGAAAAATAGTTTATTTTATTTTTTTCTTGTAATATTTTCTTTAGATTCAAACATTGAGCAGTTACATGCTTAAAAAATTAAAATTTTAACTTTCATTGCTATTTCTTCTTTCGAATGTTTAATACTTGTAAAGGTATTCATTTGACATTGTGGGTCACTAAAATGCGAAGAGATGGCGCTGCCTTGCAGCTTAAGAAAGGCTAGAAAGAATTCGATACGGCCGTCAGGGCCGCGGTAGCATAATTGATCAGTGCATTCGCCCGGATAGCGAAGGGTGCGGGTCCGAATCCCGTCTGCTGCCAGGTCCGCGTGGAATTTTTTCTAGTATTATAATTATATTACTTCGCCTGCGGACTACCTACGGATGCCTACTGATCTTTTGATTTTTTGATAACACTGAGACCATCATCAACTCGTGTGTTTAGCTCAACATACCCCCGAACACTGAATAGCAGGCATGTGTGTAGAGACAAGCCGATATTGCCCCGACACCGTGCACCCTAGATTGTCCCTTCGGCAGACATGTCAGTAGGCCGCTTTAGCCTACAATGTCTCTTTGATGGCAAGGTAAGGCAATTTAACACGGATCACAATTATCTGGTAGTAAGGTAGGTGCCGTGCCTGGTACGGTACACTACTACGCTCGCGTAATCATAACACGGCACAGATTAGAATGCGAGCATAATGGTCCCCCAACTGCTCCTTGAAGTGATATTTAAACTGTCTGTTTATTGCCACAATATGTCGATTGTCGACACACGCTACGCACAAGTCTGTATCTGTCAGATACACAGCCTTGATTTTAATATAAAGGTTAAGGTCTTTTCACTGTAATATATGTAGGTAGACCGCTTAATTGAGTCCTCGTCAAAATTACAAGTGCCCGTCGCCCGCGCCTCTCACGGCCCCAGTTCTCGTCCTCCCCCACACCCTGTACCCCGCAGGCGAGGTCTCAGTTAAGCGGTTTACCTATAGCTAATGACAAACAAATAATTAGGTTTCCCATCGGTAAAATAATTTTCAAAATCGTTTCAGTAGATCTACAGAGTATCCCTACAACCTTACAAACTTTACCTATTATTATATATTAATTTATACAATTCGATTTTTATTATATTTGCAATGCACTGGACCTGAATGGTCGTGATAGGCGAATGTACAATTATTTATTATTTTATTACTAGTGGGGAAGTTAATACCTGACTATGATGTTTTGATAGTCATTCGAACTTAATAATATCTCTTACGCACATAGTTTGTTTATAAGCGGTAAAGTCTAACAACGGACAAGACAACGTCGGAAACTGATGTAGACGATACGAAATGTCTGAAATTCTGTGTTAAACTATTATTTTATCATTCATATAATGCCAGCACGGAACAAATAATATATAATATAACTCGTTAGTGTAATGATAAAATTTTAAGTATGTTTCAAGGAAATTTGATATGTTTCCTGATCAAAACTTTCGAATGAGCTGTGCGCGTGAGTCTCATCGCATCGTCGGTTTGCGCCCGCTCATCTCCCAAGCGGAACGGCTCACTTTTTGTGGATGGAAATCAACTCGACGATATCGCATCGGAATACCGTTACTGAATGTCAACTTTATCTATTCCACGATCCCTACACAAAAATGAACGTTTTAGCTTGGTGATTAGATACTATTTTCGATTCTGCGTTTTTGTGTGCCTAAAAGGGAAATTCATACTGTATTTAAATTTAAGTATTTTTGTATCAGCTTTTTCCCGAAAAGAAATCGTGTATTCTTAGTACTTGGTAAGTTACTGAGAACCTTGTAGAGAACACTGAAAAGTGTTTGACATTTTGATCCACACTTTCTAGGGTAGTCTATCTATAGGTATACAATATACATACATAGGGTATAGTTTACCGAGATAATTATTGTATTTAGCCTGATTTAGAAATTAAAAAAAAATGTGAAATAATATCTTTCTGATATTTGATATTTTATTATATATCCGCCTGAGCGAGGCGTATCAGTTCGCTTTAGTGTAGACTTAAGTTTTAACTGTATTTTATAGTTGTCTATAGTTGTAAAATAAGCTACTGTCGCATGTAATATAAATACCCCTTACGCGTATTATAAGGATGGAGTCAGTTTCTGCGTTATTTAGAAAAAATATTGCTCGAATAGGTATTACCTTACCTGCACAAAATAATTCTTCAAGAATATATCTGGACAAAGAGATTTTCGAAACTAATACTAAAGTAACGAAAATGTAATGGTCCAATTACACTTCGTCGTTAGCTATTCGGGTGTACGAAAGACATTACTCGAATTCGGGCACCCGAAGCAATACCTATTCACACTGGAATACGGACTGGAAGACGGTGTCGGGTAACCAAAACGAAAACAACCCGAATACGGGCGTACTAGACTCTGTTCATTTACACTGTAGGAGATTTCTATTTACCTCGTATCATGACCTTTGCCCGCGCACCTGTTCCTTCCTTCCTACAATTTGGGGTCCTTTAAGAGAGGCGTGAAGAAGCATTTTTCCAGGCCGGCAAGGTGAGGATGGTTGGTGTAGCAGTTTATAACTGCTGTACCAACTATCTTCGCGTTTTTACTTTATCACCACTTAACATCAGGTGGGGTAGAGTCATTTGCCTACCTCGCTATAAAAAAAATATATAGAGACTGCTAAATCTTGAACGTTAGTTTTCATAGGTTTGGCAACCCTGCTGGGTGTGGCCTCCCCCCCGCACCGTCGGATTTTTCCATGCCATTTTTATCTTAATTTTCCATCTGATGTATTTGAAAATAGTTTGTAGAAAAAGCATATAATTGATTGATCATACTTTTCGCCACGGGAACATCCAACTGTTGTTTTTTGATTCCCAATCGGTTACCCGATATGAAAACTCTAGAAAATAGTCAGATTGTCTGATTATTATCATTAAGGAATCTCATTGCATATTTGCGATACACCGATATAAGATCGTAGGATGAAAGTAGATTACATAAGCCTGCCAGCGCCGCGCACGGTACTGGGGTTGCCAACTTTTCTTACATCAAATAAATACATTCATTTTATTTTTCAGAGTTTCACATCCATGGTGTAATTAGATGGTTAAATGAAATTGAAAAAAAAGTACAGCTCTTATTGTTATTTATTTTTTCAATGAATATTATCCGCACTTAGGACGTTTAGATTCAAAAACACTTGTTAAAAAAAACGTAATTAGCATAACTTAGGCGTGCTCCTAATGTGGAGAATTAATATTGTGATGTTGGAAACCCTAATCGGTACAAGGCTGACTTCGCTTGTGGGTCACGGCAGGCGACGTAGCTTGCATCTATCGCAGGCCTCCAAACTCGGAATATATACATAAAAAAAAAAAGTTGTAAACACACTGCGACTTTGTTAAAACGGATTACTTAAGTTAATTGATGTATAATGTTCCGATATCATACAAAACAATATCGAACCCCTTATCTAGAAACGCTTAATATTGTTTTTTATGATCACCACGGTTCGATTGAAAAACATAAATATAAGCTTAAGAGCTTAAAGGTTTTTTTGATGACAGTTAAAAACGTCACCACTATTCACATACATTTTAATTGGTACTCTTTTAAAATAAGTATTTTTAAGTACCGTTTATTGACAACATAAATTCATCTAATTTTCAAAAACAACTTTGTATTAAATAGGCTGCAGCGCAACTACTACTTTACAAGAAGGATGGTAACGCTGTCGGGCTATTATAGGAAAATACACTTAAAATGACTTGTATAGATGAATAATCTCTTTTATATTGATAGGGAAGTGTCGATAAGGCAGTCGTTAACGGCCATAAATTCTAATATTCCATAAGTGTTGGTTTGTACATTATCTTCCTATATCCCTTATTAGTTATTATACACCATTTTGAGTTAATGATGTAATAGAGTATTTACTTATTTTCTTATAAATAGCAATTCCCTTTGAAAGTGTATTCAGTATTCCAT